CAAAGGTGAATATGAGATCAATGTGTGGCTCGCAAAATGGTTTTGCGATCGTATAATGGCCCGCAAAAATGGCATCAAAATCCAAAAAGGCTGCCTCACTCTGCGGCCATTCTGCGGTCCGCAGAGTGATTCTGCGGACGCATAGTGGACCGAAGAAATTCCCTTTTTCTGCAAAATATTTTTCTTATATTTTTAATGCACTGTTCAATCCAAAAAGTCTGAATCACAAAATCCCGATTTTCAGAAAAAAAAATATTATGGGGCCTTACTCTTCAAATAGGTGCTATGGTCTGACTATAGGAAGAAAATCCTACATTCAATGGATAAAATGACTGTGGAACAATTTAGTACTCACATTCAAATTGAAAGTGAGACTCGTGCTCGTAATTGTATTAGTCAGCCGTCGAGTTCCGTAGTCAATTTTGTCGGTCAGAATGGTTCAGGAAGTGGGAACAAAAATCTAAAAGTTTCCACAAAGTCTTCTTTTAAAAAGAGAAAGAACTTTAGTAGTCATCATTGTGGGAAGAAAAGCTAAATGATTCGGAATTGAAGGTATAGAAAGGCAGGAATAAATTTCAATGCAAGCAATACAGAAAAGTCTGGAAAGATTGAAAAATCTGGAAATTCTGAAAAGGCAAATGTAGTGAAAAATTCTGCCCAAGTACTGATTGCCATGGTTTCCGCAATGCAAATTGGTATGGTCGCCGAATTGAATATGGTTACCGCTGCTAAAAATACTCAAGACCTAGATTCGGTTGCTACTATTCATGCCTGTTATGATAAGAAGATGTTCAAGACATATGTAAAAGTGAAAGATTCTGAACAAATCTTGATGGAAAACCATGTTGCAACAGATGTTGCTGGAAAAGGAATATTGAGATTAACTTCACATCCGGCCAGAAGTTGACATTACTGAATATGTATCATGTTCCTAATATAAAGAAAAACTTAATGTTTGCTGCTTTGCTGTCAAAGAAAGGCTTCAAGATTATTATTGAGTCTGATCATGTAATAGTGTCTGAGAATGGAGTCTTTGTTGGAAAAGGCTATAACTGTAATGACATGTTCAAATGTATTAATGAAATAAATTATGTTTTTGCTTATATCGTTGAGTCTGATTCTTGTTTATGGTATGCTAGACCAGGACATTTAAATTTCAGCTCCTTGAATTATATGTCCAAAAATGGTTATATATCATGTAAAACTCAACATATAAAATGTGAAATTTGCATACAAGCAAAGATGACAAAGAAACCATTTCGTAAAGTTGAAAGATCCACAGAACTATTAGATTTAATACATTCAGACTTGTGTGAATTAAATGGAGAATTAACTAGAGGAGGCAAAAGATATTTTATTACTTTTATAGATGACTTCTCTAGATTTACATATATTTACCTACTTAGATCTAAGGATGAAGCTTTTCAAAAGTTTAAAGAATACAAGTTTGTTGTGGAAAAATCAAAGGAATAGAAAAATTAAAATTATTCGAAGTGATAGATGCGGAGAATATTTTCCTAACGAATTTAATAAGTTTTGTGAAGAGCGTGGCCTAGTACATCAAATGAGTGCCCCTTATACTCCTCAACAAAATGGATTGACGGAAAGAAAAAATAGAACTTTGGTGGACATGGTTAATGCTATGTTACTTAATGCATATTTGCCACATAATTTATGGGGGAGAAGCACTACTAACCACTTGTTATATTTTAAATAGAGTGCCTTCAAAAAGTATGCATGTTTATAGAATCTATACATGTTGAATTTATTGAAAATAGATTTATAAATGACAATATTGATGAAATAACTGAAGTAAATGGAAAATGTATTGATGCAAATAAATTGTCACTTTCTAAAATTATTATAAATAAAGAAAGAAGTGAGGATATGCAAATAGAACCAAGGAAAAGCCAAAGAATAAGAAAAGAAAAATATCTTGGTTTTGATTTTATTTCTTCACAGTCTATAGTATTTCTTGTTGAAGGAGATAGGACAAACATTTGTAATCAAATTCCTATTGTATTGGATGCTGAAGAAGACCCAAAGATGTTTCAAGAAGCAATATCTTCGAGAGAAGCTGCCTTATGGAAAGAGGCCACTAATAATAAAATGGACTCAATTATATCAAACAACACTTGGGTTTTAGTTGATCTTCCTCTTGGATCAAAGCTTATAGGTTGTAAGTGGATCTTTAGAAGAAAGTACAATACAGATGATTTTGTCCAAACCTTCAAAGCAAGATTAGTTGCAAAAGGTTTCACTCAAAAGGAAGGCATAGACTATTTTGATACATATGCTCCTATTGCAAGAATAATATCCATTAGAGTCCTTTTATCCATGGCCTATATTTATGATATTTATCTACATCAAATGGATCTTAAGACGACCTTTTTAAAATGAAACCTTAGTGAAGAAATATATATATGCAACAACCTGAAGGATTTGTTCTTCCGGGAAACGAGAAGAAAGTTTCTAACTAAATAAAGCCTCTCTATGGTCTCAAACAAATGCCTAAACAGTGGCATGAAAGGTTTGATAGTGTAATACTATCAAACGGGTTCATACATAATCATGCAGACAAGTGTATTTACTCTAAATTTACAAAGGAATATGGAGTAATAATTTGTTTATATGTTGACGACATGCTGATTTTTGGTACGAATCTACGGGGAATTATTGAGACCAAGAAGTATCTAACTTCAATTTTTAAAATGAAAGATTTAAATGGAGTTGATACTATTTTGGGAATCAAGGTCAAAAGAGATAACAAGCGAATAACTTTGTCACAAGCACATTATATTGATAAAATTCTTACTAAATTCAATCATTTGGGAATAAAGGAATATAATACTCCTTATGATTCTAGTGTTAAGCTAACTGCAAATACTGGAAGAGTAGTAGCATAATTGGAGTATGCAAGTGCGATAGGTAGAATGATGTATGCAATGTATTGCACTAGACCCGACATAGCATTTGCAATTTGTAAACTTTCAAGGTTGACCACTAATCTGGGTAATGATCATTGGAAACCAATAAGTAGAGTACTTGGATATTTAAAATAAACAAAGCACTTGGGCATTTGCTATAATGGTTTCCCTAATGTATTAGAAAGATATTGTGATGCAAGTTGAATTACAAGTGTTAATGATAATAAATCCACATCAGGATGGATATTTACTCTAGGCGGTGGAGCCATTAGTTGGGCATCCTAGAAACAAACATGTATATCCCATTCTACTATGGAATCTGAATTCATTGCACTATCAACTACTGGAAAAGAATCAGAATAGCTGAGGAATATGTTACTTGATATAAAGTTGTGGTCATAACCTATGCCAGCCATTTCCATATTCTGTGATAGTGAGACTACAATGTGTGTTGCTCATAGTAAAATATACAATGGAAAATCGAGACATATAATCTTGAGACATGCTTATAGAAGAGAATTAATTACAAATGGAGCTATAGCTATAATATATGTTAGATCAAATAAGAATTTGGTTAATCCACTTGTGAAACCATTGGGTAGAGATATAGCGCAACAAACTTGTGAAGGGCTAGGGCTGAGACCCTTAAATTAAATACAAGGAATGAGAACTACACTTTGAGTTAGTATACACTCTAACAATATAAGTTCAATGGGTAACAACAAGTTACTTGTGTTTTTTAAGCATTGATCTCCTCTTTAGGAGCCCTAATTCCATTGTACTGCTTACTATTATGTGAGGAGTTAAGGAGTTATTAAATGCTTGTTATAACAGGGGCATAAAGACAAACTCCAAAGTGCATACTATTACACGAAGGGTTGATTAATCTTAATGGAATTATTAATGTCTGGAGTAACAATGACATAGTAACTAATTCCACCTGTATGAATATTGAAGTGGTGTCACTTTTAGCAAGATTTAAAAGGTTGATTTGTAAATATTCATGAATTCAGGATGAGCACATGGTCGTAAATGTGCTAAAGCGAATATTGGATTTTCTAAGCTACTAGATCATGCTATGTGTGTGGTATTTTTGATTTTGGCACAAGGAATTATGGTTCAAATCTGAAGATACCATTAACTTCGTACTTTAAAGTACTTACACTAAAGGAAAGTTCAAATCCATATAAGATACTTTCTATTATTCACAAGTCTTATGAAGTGAAATAACAAACTAGTGGAGGATTGTAAGATAGTTTGGTATTCTTAAGAGTTGGGAAGTGGGATTGTTCCCACATCGGAAGAAAGAAGGCTTTTTTGGAGACTTTTAAGCACTTGTCCCTTTCATGTCTTTGATTTAGGACACATACTTTTAAGTGTGTGCAATCAAGTACACTATATATTTATATATCATATGATCAAAGACTTGGACTTGGGCTTGGGCGCCGGCCAGGTCGGATCCTAAAGTTAATTATTTTATTTTTTAACAGAAAATCAATCTATTTGAATTATAAATTAAAATTCGAATAAACAGTTATGTCTGTTATGAAAGGGTATGTCCAGATATATCTGTTTGTGGAACAAGACATTTTTTCTGAAAGAGTCTGTTGGTTGCCTATAAATACACAAGAATTTCCAACAAAGTGGTATAGAAAATCACAAGTATTATTGCAAGCTTTGTTGTATCCTGAAGAGAATTATTTTGTATTTCCCTAAATTAGTATACATGCGATAACTCTTCAAGGACAGTCGATTTTCACGCCTCAAAGCCATTTTTAATTATTATTTTCTAACATACCGACCAATTATCCATTTAAAATTATACTCTCTAGTCTCTCCATTTAAAGTCATAGTTTGAATTGACGTAAAGTTTAATAAAAAGAAAAATAATTTTAAATTTGTGGTCTCAAATATATCAATATATTTGAGTGGCTATAAAGCTTTTAAAAAATGTAGGAACATGTCAATTTTTTTGTACAGATTAATTAGAACTAATAGTATCCATCTTTTAGAAAAGTAAGGAGTAATATTTAAGAGTAAAGAAATGGAGAAAAAAATGCATTTGAAATCAATATGTTTGAAAGATAATAAAACAAAGAGAGGGTTCGAAAGGAGTGATGGGTGTGGCTCCAATTCCTACACGAACATCATCCTCAAATTTGCCCAAAACCAATTTACTTAATCACAAAGCGTACCATAGAAAGCACATTCATTATCAAGAACACCCAATTGGAGTAACAGTTAATTCAAAATTCCAATGGAGCTATGCAGAGTACCAGCTGCTACTACTGCATTTGCATGGACAAATTCCATCTCCTCTACCCTTCAACTCCCTCAAATTCTCTTTGTATGCATTCCCCCCACTTAATTCCTCATTTTATATAAAAAAAAGAAAGTATTTTTGACATTTGTAGTAGCAAGCAGCCTTAAATCATTTATCTGTTTTATTTTTCATTGAAAATAGGTAGGAGGTGGGTCTAAAAGATTCAGAATTTGGTGTGTGAATGGAAACATTGAGTCTCAGAAGGTATTGCTTATTCCACATTATTCAAATATTTGTATTTCGAAATTTTTGGTGATTGATGATTCCACATTATGTAGCAGTGCTTAAGTTTGTTGAGATGAAGTATACTTTTCTTTACTGGTTCAGGAAAGTCAGATGGTTGTATCAGTTACTGGAGCTACTGGATTTGTTGGGAAANGTACCAAAAAGACCCATTAATACCTAGCTATTTGTTTCTTTATCAATTGGACCTACAATAAGTCAAGTCAATTGCAAAATTGGAATGTAAAAGTAACTAGTGACTAAATGTAGATACCAATCGATTTAGGACGATTGAATGAGGAAAGAGTGCCAACAAATTGGAGTGGAGGGAGTATCTGTAAACATTTAGGAAATCTCTGTGTGTGTGTGTGTGTATATTCCTCGAGCTGTAGGCTGAGGATGTGCACGCATGTGCTGCCTTCATTATACTGCTCATGGTTCTGCCCAGTTTATATAGTTCTTTACCATGACTCTAGAACTTGATTATGAGTCTGCACTCAGCATTGGGCCAGAAATTTTTAAGTAGAAAGGCACACTCCTTGTTTGCTATTGACTTGCACCATTATGGGCAGGTTCATAAGTCTTGGCATGTCCTTTTTTTTTGCTGATGAAATAGTTCAAGTACCAAGTGTGTCTGCTAAACTAATTGAAGCTGGTTAAAAATTTAAATTAATATTTTGGTTATAGGGTTGCTGCTGAGTTAACACTTCTATATAAGAGACATTGTCACACATGACGCTGTTCTGAATTGAACATGCCATAAGATGTGATTTTTCCCAACGATGGGTCACATAACTGTTATTGTAGAATATGCACGTCATTAATTAAGCTTAACTAGTCCTTACTTCTTGTCTTAAATGCAGATAAGCATCAGATTCGAGTGTTAACAAGGTCAAGATCCAAAGCACAATCAATATTTCCGGGTAAGAAGGTAATGATTGTTTTGATTCACCCACTGTACTTCAGCATTACTCTTTCTTCTGTGGAAAATGATAGCAATAGTGTCGGAAAGCTTAGACTGTTTTATAAGTAGAATCGTTAAGTAGAATTGTTCTAGCCTAAAAGAATGTCACAAGCTCACTGGTCACCTGATTTTTTATTATTTGTGCTTCTTAATGAAGTGTAGGCGCTTTTGCTACTCTTTTGTCCTACTACCTTCTTTTATTTGATCTTATGTAGGAAACAATATGTTGTCAGCAGACATTAAGACTTTATTTTGGTTATGTTTTCCAAATTGTGCTTCTTCATTTTAACATTTGACCTCTTCATATTCTTGTGGAAATGTGCAGTTAAAGATTTTCCAGGACTTGTAATTGCTGAGGAGCCAGAGTGGAGAAACTGCATTGAAGGTTCAACAGCTGTTGTAAATTTGGCTGGAATGCCCATTAGTACTAGATGGTCCCCTGAGGTATTAGGAGATCATTTGATGGCCTTGTATTCTCTGTCTCTCCTATTCTTTTTTGTTTCCTTTTCCAAGATATTTAAGGAAGACAAGTTATATACACCCCTATGGATAGATGCATTCTTACTTAATATCTTCATCCGAATATTTAAGATTTTGACCTTTTTGTATTGTATATTCCCCTTCGGACGAATGATCAGTAGTTCATTCTGCAATGTAAGATACATATATTAACTTTTCAATGTATCGCTGCAGATCAAGAAAGAGATCAAGCAAAGCAGGATTAGAGTAACCTCCAAGGTCTCCTCTTCTCTGTTAGCTTCACGCAAAATAGCATAGTGAAAGAGGTCAATTCATTTTAAGGATTTATCTATAACAGCAGAAGATATTGACAGGAATTTGAGAAATCTCTGTTGACCCTGTAGGTTGTGGATTTAATCAATAATTCACAGGATGATGATCGCCCCAAAGTTTTAATAAGTGCATCAGCAGTTGGTTATTATGGTATGGAGACCAAGTTCATGTATCACTTTGTTATACTGTTCATATATTGTTGTGTTGTTTTATTGTCTCCCAAAGAACTTCCAAACTAGAACTTGTAAGCATGCTAGCGTTCCCATAGCATCTCAAATATTTGTATGTTTATGGAGGATGCCAAGGCTTTCAGCCGCTTATCTTTTTAATGCTTTATAGTGATAATCGAATTCTTATGTGCATTCCATCTCCATGATAAATCCACCTGATTTCCGTACTCAGGAACCAGTAAGACTCGAGTGTTTGATGAGCAAAGTTCGTCTGGAAATGACTACTTAGCTGAGGTAAATCTGATGGGTTTTAACAGTTGCATACATATAGAGTATGTTATATCTTTTAGTTTTCATGTTTAATTTAGAATCTAATTTCCGGTATCTTGATTTCTTTTAGGTTTGTAGAGAATGGGAGGGAGCTGCACTCAAAGTCAATAAAGATGTCAGGCTTGCTCTAATTCGCATTGGTGTTGTCCTTGGAAAAGATGGTGGTGCTTTAGGTATGCTTTCTTTTTTATTCTTTTCATTTTGTTTTGATAAATAATAAAATAGGTATGCGTTTTTATTTATATCCTATTTCTACATTGTTGCTCTGGATTGTTACAATTGTGATTGAAAACAAATTCTGGAAATTTTATTCCTCTTTACATTAAAGGTTCCCCATTTCTGGCAGCACAATGTAGTTGATAGCAATTAAAGTAGCAACAGATTTGACATAAACACTAGATTGGATTGGATACCGAAGTAACACTATGTTTCAAGGGTGCTATGTTTCTTTTCTTTCACTAACTTTCACTTTGGTTGCATTTCTTGTTGGCCTTTGGGATCCAATGGCTCTTTATTGTCATACAAAACATCATTTCAATGCATCTAATATAACTCATGACTACAGTCAAACGACATCCTTATATAACAGTCATTCACAATAAAAGTCTATGTTTTTCTTCTAATCGATTTTTTATGTTTGTTTTACCTCTCTATAACAACTTTTTAGCGATAAAAACAGCATCCATCTTTATAATAGTACTCTCTTTGTAAATTTACCCTTCTATAACAGCCATGTAAAATTTCTAAGATTACCAATAATAACCCTAAATATTTAATTTGATCAAATTTATTAAAACTTTAATGCACCACTTATAATAAAAATTATTATGTTAGTACATACTTCCATAATTAAAATTTTTATTTAATTTGATTAAAAAATATACTTGTATATTTTCATTCCATTTTATAAAAGGTTCTATCATGCACAATGTCTAATATTTGAAGATCTGCACATACAATCTTTTCCACCTGACAAAGTTTCAATCTTGTATAATGCTTAAGATTTGACGATTTGCACATATCTTTTTCAAAGTTCTTCCATATATCTTGAAGGAATTTAATTTTCTAATAGCTTTTAAATGTGTACTTTAGAGTTAAAATCTTTGTACATTTAGTTATGAATTTTGTTAATAATATATTAGATGGCTTTAATACTTAATTAGTGAAATATGCACATCTTTCGAGATTTTAGATTTGAATAATTTCTTATCTATTATATGTAACATTAAAAAGTGAAAAAGATTATATTTTTAATAATATTTGTCTATAACAACCAGAAATATTTAAACGTCAAATGTTGTTACAGGTGTATTGCAGTCATTCACTATAAAAGCCTATAAATATGAGAATAACATTGTTGTTATAGAGAGGTTTTATATTCCTTTTACAGTTATATAAATCATCATCATACTATATTACAAGTGTGAAACCCAAAGTGTAAGATTAAATTACTAAAATACCCATCAAAACCTAAATGACCTTTTTACCCTTTACTTAAACACTATTTATGTAATATTTTTGTACCAAAAAGTAAACTTACATTCAATTTTGTACTCAAGCATCTTATAATAAATACGTAGGGGTAATAATAAAAGCCATTATAATGATGCTTGAAGATGTAGAGACTGAATGAATATTTTTAATACATGTACATATATAGTACACTAATCAAATGCATTCCTTTAGTTACACTCGAGAAGTGAGAAACCAGGTATATACAAATTTTTTATTCAAGTATCACATATCTTTAAGATCAAATTTTAGAGTGTATGAAGAGTTCTCTTTCATCTGCCATAAAATTAACTTATCATTGCTTTAAAAACTAAATTAACCTTCAACATTCATGTAGAAAAATGTAATTATAAATTCAGTTTACGAATTTTGAAAAGCTTTGTGCTGATTAATATGGATACATGTGTGTTGCACGTGAACTTAAGCTAGTTAATAAAAAAAGACCCAAGGTACTAGATATCTAGGGGGGCAACTCTTTTAGATTATGATGTTTAATTTCTGGAACCTCTTTTAACATTTTCCCCTTTTCCCTTTAAATTTTTATGGGACCCACTAAAATGTCAACTAATATTAACCCATAGTTTTATAAGTATAATAAATTCATCGCTAAAAACTTTAAAAGTCGAACGCCTACCATTTTAAATCTTGGATTCACTTCTGGGTGGGACAGGTGCAAATTTGATAAATTGTGTATTAGTTTTTTGGGTTTACTACAAGGTTTTTTGAAATTTTGAGGGAAAAGCGGGAGAGAGCGATGCCAACCTTCAGCTAAACGTGGATCCACCAATGATTGTAGACGGCATGTCTATGATCTTCAGATGCTTATCATCGTTTCACATCTTTCATATCTTCCTTCTCTTGATCTCTGCAGCTAAAATGATCCCAATCTTCATGATGTTTGCTGGGGGACCTTTGGGCTCTGGAAACCAATGGTATTGCCTTTTAATTTTGCTTATACTACAAATATTTCTCATTAATGTGGATCAGAGATATGTTTATTTGTATTAGCCTGTAGATGTTTGAATTTCAGGCAACATTTTCCCCCTTCTCACTTAGTAGATTTCTGCTGCCTTCACTATGCAGGTTTTCATGGATTCATTTGGACGACCTTGTAGATCTAATATATGAAGCTCTATCCAATCCATCCTATAAAGGTAAATTCATTGCCAGAGACGTCTATAGTATGTAGATTTCAGTCATATACCCTTTATGAAACTATAAGTTCCTATACGTTACTTAACACGGTCATTGATTATTAACTTTGCAACTTCCAGTAGAGCTTTCAATGACTTAAAGTTCGACTGAATAAGGATGACCTTTTTCCTTGCTGTAGGTCCTTTTCTGTGTTTGTATTTCTATCCGAACAGTAAGCTGATATAGATTAACAACTAACTGAAATTAAAGTGTAGTTAACTGACAGTAAGTCGGCCCATGGCAGGGGTGATTAATGGAACAGCGCCAAACCCTGTTAGGCTGGCAGAAATGTGTGAACAACTGGGATCTGTTTTAGGGCGACCTTCGTGGCTACCAGTACCAGAAATTGCACTCAAAGCTGTCCTTGGAGAGGGTGCATCTGTGGTAGGAGTTTTCTAACCTCAGCTTATTACCTATTTGTCTGATACTTCCCTCTATTAATCTTGCACAACTTAACTTCAACTTCCAGATATCCCTTTTCAATTCAACTTCAAATACTTTTTTTTTCCATTAACTTCAACCAAATATTGTCCAAATGCCTAGTAATGTGTATTTCAGGTGTTGGATGGGCAGAAGGTGGTTCCAACGAGGGCCAAGGAGTTGGGTTTTCCATTCAAATACCGATATATCAAAGACGCTCTGAAAGCAATCATGTCATGAGACAATCAATCATCAACCAATTTTCTATACATCTTGAAGTGGTCAACTTCATAGGGTCCAAAAGAGTATTGAGTTAATGCATTTCAATGGCGTGGGAGAAGAATGAAGAAACAAATAACTGTTCTCTTCCTTGTCTGGGCGTATCACTTTTTCCTAATTTTTTTGTAAGTCATAATTCAATTTGTAAACATCAAGCCTGTTTGAAAAGTATGTGCACCTTCATACCGGTCAACGCAAGTTCTCCATGCGTATTATAAATTGAGTCATTTACAACTAACTTTTCAAGAACTCTAGGGCGAATTCATATTGAAAGTTGCAGGTTAGGTGCAATTGATTTCGAATTTTCAACTCAAGCTATATATATTAGTTGAAGTTCTTTTGAAAAGTAAAAGACACTTTTTCTATCTTCAAATGAGGTAATGATAGACATTCAATTTGATGAGGGCACGTTTCTGCACCTTAATTTAAATTGATTGATTGAATGTGTCCAAGAGAAGCCAACTGAAAGATTTTCAAGCCTGCAAGCAGCAGGCAACACGGTACCTTGTAATTTTGATCTCTTTTGACTGCTTACTGATAAAACCACTAAAAAATTTCATAAATTTATAACCACCTACCCTGGCCCCCTAACAAGGAAAATAAAAGGAATTTTCACCTCCCGTAGCAAAGGTTGATACCTTATTTATTTTAAATAAATATATTTTTAAAAAATTATATTTCATAGCTACCTTTTAATTTTTATAGTCAAATATCTATTGATGTCACCTCCTACCCTTAAGCCATAAAATACCCTTTGTATTATTTTTCTCTCTCATTCTTTCAGATTTTTCTCTACCCTCTCTCTCAACGCCAGTCTTTCTCCATGAATACAACCATGATTCTTCACTGATTCATCTCCATTGTCGAACGAAATTTTCATTATCAGTGGCCTGGGGCTCTGAATCTATCGAAATCAAGCCCTAGAGAGAAAGATGGAGGTTCGAAATTTGCTATTGAACGATAAATTGGGGCTGACAATGAAAATTCAGAAGATTGTTTCGAATTGAAGCTAGATCATAAAAGAAGAATCCAGTTGCACAGCAACAAACAGATCTACTATAATCAAGAAAAAGTTGTGAATAGTTCAGGTTTGTGGAGAGTTCCTGCTAGTCTACAACTACAACGACGAAAACCGACTCTCAACCAGAAGGAGATAGAAACCACCATCTACACCTAAAATGCTTGTGAAAAGACCCAAATAAACTTAAGAGGATTGCATATGGCGCAAGTATTTTTGAAAGGAATTTTTAGGGTAAATTGGGCTGACAATGAAGGTTCGAAATCTGCTATTGACGAGACGACATTAGGGTTATTCTTGAACAAAGACGACAGAGTTTAGGGCTCAGCAACTTGAAAAGTCTGTTACATTTTTTTCCATTATATTTCAATGTATCTCGCTATATTTCATATATTTCATTGTATTCATTGTCTTTTTATTCATTGTATTTCAATGTATCTCGCTATATTTCATATATTTCATTGTATTCACTGTCTCGCTATATTCCATGAATGTATTCATATGTTTTTTTTATTAATATAATTTATGTATTCAAATGTATTTATATATTCAGATTTATAATTGAGTTTGTTGAGTTATATTAGAAGTCTGTTTGTGTTAATTGATTCACTTTCCATTTAAAAACAACTGAATAGACCACGATTTACGCTATTTACGTTACTGTATTCACAAATACATATTGTGAATACAGTCGAATACAATAGTTGCCTAGCTGTACTCCACTGTTTCATGTTGAAATTTGCTACTGTATTCATGAATACAATAGCTTAAATACATTGAATACACTATAGCAAAATTGAAAACATAGCTATAGGAAGTAATATAGTAAATGATAGCTACTAGGGGTGTACATGGACCGAGTTGGTTCGATTTTTATCAAAACCAAACCAAACCAACTAGATCGGTTTGGATTGGTTCGATTTTGTCGGGTTTTCAGATTTTTTTGTTACATGAATATTATTTCAATCTTACTTTGTTAAAATTATAGATAAAACTTTGACAAGTGAATATATGTTTAGTAAATATAGAAAAAATTGACAAACATATGATCTATTAAAATATTCTAATGGGAGAATTTTTTTAGTAACACATGATAGTTATTTCTTAGGCGTCTAACAATAATTTTTCGTTAATTTATGCTTTCAAAGTTAATACATGAGAGGATCACAAATATTTCTACATTTTCTAAAGAAAATTCACTATAAAGTGTTAAAAATATAAATAAAATTTATATATTTATATGTCGGTTTGATTCGGGTTATTTTACTCAATACCAAACCAAGTCAAACCAAACCTAGTCGGATTTTTTAATCGGTTTGGTTTGATTTTTCGGTTTAGTGCGGTTTTCCGATTCGGTTTGAACACCCCTAGTAGCTACAACTAGCTAATAACCACTAAACAATAGTAGTTTGTGAAAAATTTTCTAAATAAAATAAAAGGCTAAACTACATGTATCCATCTTCTCACGGTGCGAATGTAAGTTACTAGAGTTGGACTTGGGGTCAGACTTCCAAATCATAACATCATTATCAAGTATTGGGCTGAATAACTGAGATTGGGCTAAATAACTGAGATTGGGCTGAATATAAGCACTTGTAAACAAACTATGTGAGAGTTTAAAAGCCCAGAAGTCCGGGATTTAGATGGAAACTGTATATCAGTTGGCTTTGGAACAAAAACTAAGTCGATTGATTATACATTGATCACATAGTCCATGTAATTTGACTGAGCAGATATGATGTGAAAACATAGGATAAATAACATGAATATATTACAGTCAACCCCTCAAGGAATACTTTTTCCCAGTGAAAGCTTGAAACTTTGGCTCTTCTTTCTTTTGAGGTTCCTCCTTAACAGGTTCCTTCACAGGTTCCTGCAGATATAGAGGAATTTTAACACGTTGAAACACATAAGTAGCCAAATACTTAATCAGCAGTTAGTACTTTGCCAACGGCCAGGAACAAATAAACATGTTATAATGAAATCTATGCAGGTGGAGATGAGAAACCTTTTGTTTATCCGGATTCCGGTTTGCATTTGACCCAAAGACAAGCTTCCCCTGTGTCTGACGATTGGAGCTTTGAGAGCTTGAACCGGCAGCTGACTGTCCAGTAGCATTTGCCATATCAGGTCGCTTGTCTTTAGACCCAGATGTGGAAACAGGTGGAGGTTGCTGTTTCAGAGGTTTCCCATCCAATCGTCTTGCTGAACCAGTAAAAGGGTTGAATTTCGGCTCCTCCTCTGCTGCAGCCTCTTCACCTGCATGATCAAAAACCATCAAGTTAAAGTAGAAAACTGAGAGATATCAATATTCTACAGAAATAACCAGGAACAAACAATAGTCTACAATTCTTTATAAGGGGTAAGAAGCTAACTTAGCCTTGTACCATCCACCAAGGCAATTAGCCAAAAAGGTTTTCCAGTCCAGGAAAAGATCAGTCAAATTTATAATGTGAATAACATAATTGGATCAAACAAACTTGAAGCTGTATATAGTTCTCTGGCTTTCACAGTAGCCATGCCTACTGGAGATATTACTACCTAAAAATTAGTAAAACTGGAGTCTACAATCATTGAAGATATTCCTTTATCTCAACTTAGACAATCCCATTTGACTTGTACAATTTCTTTTCAAAAGGTTTGTATAAGCTAGTTAGAGTTAACTAGCTTTACATTTAGATAAATAGCTAAAATGCATGAACTGTGAGTTTTATGTTGATAGAATACCACACAAACGCCAACCAACAGAGAGTAATATTACTTGATACTACAATATCAAAAAATAGTTCAAGGAGGGAGAATATTGAACATTCCCGAAACGACCCATCCTCAGCTAATAAGAGCTTAGGATGTTATATTGTATTAAACAAAAGACAGAGAAGAACACAACTATAATTACAGAATGTATTGTGCACCTTCAGCTGGAGTTTTGCTTGGAAGAGATTGAACTGGTCTTTCAGGTTCTTTATAATCAAGAGGAGGTGCAAAGTCTACCTCGCAGTCTGTCTCAATGATGCTTATTGCATTAGAGGGCTTCGACTCAACTATGTCTATGTAATACTTTTTATTGTTGTAAGCCACCATAATACTATCTCCAGTGGTTAAGCAAGAAAAATTTCTCAGTGTCGTCTCCAAGCTGCATCAGCAACAAAAAAAAGGGCGTAAAACATGGAAGCCTAGATAAGTGTGCATATTTTGCAAAAGACAGGAACAAAAAAGCAATTGAACAAACAAATATTTCTTGCCGCACAGGTAATGCATTTAGACTCAAAATGAGAGAAATTAAATAAATTAAATTTTTATCTTGATAAGTCGATTGAAATAAATTGGACTTGTCATACTTTTGTGATGCATATTATTCCACCAAGAAACATCCAAAATTGACTATTGCGAGCATTAAACGTGATAAATGCACTAGAAAAGGACGGGCTAGTGGCATTCTATTGAGAGGCAAGAGTGCATGAGGCAATACATCATGTAGGAAGTCATTATAAGCGAAACACAACAAAAGAATAGAAAGCTCATGTTTTTTCCTCATCAACATTCATTTCAATTTTTTTACTCAAACCAAAGAAAACTTCCGACCATTAATGCGAACCATTCTTTCACTGTCACTTATGAGAAATGCTAATATCGCAAACGATGTGACGTATCAAAAGTTAAAACCGTAAGCAGTTCATCATTTTGGATCTCTACTGCCCATTTCCAACCCGCATTAGCTGGCATAGAGACAACACTTTCAGCTCTGCCCAAAATTTTCTTCCTTGGTACCAAAAGGATAGATGTGTAACTCCATTGGTAAAGTGAACACTTCTAGAACAAGATACATGCCTAAAAAAAATTTATAAGAAGCTTAATCCAGAAACAAAGGAGATGTGGAATTAGCTAGCGTAATTCTTATATACTAATTTACTGGAGCAAATCACTTTTTGATAACGGGGTCAGCTTTCCACTGGTGAAGAAAGTAACTTTGCAGTCTGGAAGTACAGACTCTTAACAGAGTAGACTAAAATTATACAGAGCCACAGAGCTCTGAAAGAAGAGTATAAAACTGAAAGGCACAGCCAAGTAAAAGCAAATTTACTCACATGGCCTTAGGGTTAGAAATATCCAAGAAATCCTTCGTGTGTGGTTGCAACTTGACATATTTTCCCTTGGGAAGAGTTACATTTTTTACTCTTACTGTGTCACCTTCTTGTAGTAGTAAATTCTCCATCATCTACAAGATCAC